CATTAAGGCCGTATTCATCATCCGTTCTTATATTTGAGATTGTCTTAAGACATCGTTCAACCAATCAAAAGATGCTATGCGGCCATTTGATTGATTGAACGAGGTCTTAAGATGATCTTAAATATAACACGGATTATGAATACGGGCCTAAGTGTCGATCTTAGAAGAATAAATACTAAATAAATAAATGGAAAAAATAAAATAAATGGAAAAATTGTAAGTTGATTGACTATCGCATCGTTTTTGCCGCGTAGCAAGTGTTGCGCGCGTTATAGCTGTCACTGTGTTTTGAGTGTAGTTTCTGAATGCAGCCTAAGAAATAGATAGTAAAATAACCTCTTTTAATTTGTGAGACACAGTGTTACACAATGTATTCTTTGAGCAAAAATAAAAATAATTATAAAATATGCGTAAAAAAAAAAGAAAAACCAGAGGATGGATAATATCTAGTAGTAAGTAGATAAAATTATGTAAAATTTATATATGTAATTATATCTATGTATCCAGTAAACATTAAATACTAACTAAATTACATTAAATACTAAATAATAACATAACATCTATGTTATATTTTCTACTGACTATTATTGTAACTGCAACAATGTAATATGCCTTCTATCTATGTAACAGTTAGTGAGAAATTATAACATTGAGGTTATATTACTGTTACTTACTGGATAATACTTGTTAAGTAATAATTTTGTATACAAATATTGTTTTAAGAAAGTTATATGGCTCTTGAAGAAATTGCTAAAAATCTGAGGAATAATATACCAAAAATATATTTAAAACAAATCGACTTAAGTATCACTTCAAGTTCTATGGAAAGTAATGAAGGTGACAAAAAGTTTTATATCATTATATTATTTTTTATATCAATTTTATTTCTTCTAAAAATATACAAATTATTTTTTAGATATTGATGCTAATTTGTTAAGAAATATAGAAAAAAGCAATCAACCAAATATTTCTGAAATATCTCTAGAAAAAAGTAATCAACAAGGTATGCGCTTTGATATCCATGTTTATATAAACTTATTTCTTCATAAAAGTAATATCCGTAGAAAAGCAATACGTAGCTGAGATATTTAGCTATCTTTTATTTAATATTTTTCATAAAATATTCATTATCGATCATTTAGAATAATTATAGTTCCTTTTTTAGATATTCAACTAAGTATTTCTGAAATATCTCCAGAAAAAAGTAATCAAGGTGTGTGCTTTAATCCATGTTTATATAAACTTATTTTTTCATAAAAGTAATATGCGTAGAAAAGTAGCATATAGCTGAGATATTTACCTATCTTTTATTTAGTATTTTTTCATAAAATATTAATTATCAATCATTTGCCATAATTATTTATGCTTTTTTAGATATTCAACTAAGTATTTCTGAAATATCTCCAAAAAAAGTAATCATCAAGGTGTGTGCTTTGATCCATGTTTATATAAACTTATTTCTTCATAAAAGTAATATGCGTAAAAGTAGTATGTAGCTGAGATATTTACCTATCTTTTATTTAATATTCTTTTTATAAAATATTAATTATCAATCATTTGGAATAATTATAGTTCTTTTTTTAGATATTCAACCAAATATTTCTGAAATATCTCTAGAAAAAAGTAATCAACAAGGTATGCGCTTTGATATGTTTCCATGTTTATATAAACTTATGTCTTCATAAAAGTAATATGCGTAGAAAAGCAATACGTAGCTGAGATATTTAGCTATCTTTTATTTAAGATTTTTTCATAAAATATTCATTATCGATCATTTAGAATAATTATAGTTCCTTTTTTAGATATTCAACTAAGTATTTCTGAAATATCTCCAGAAAAAAGTAATCAAGGTGTGTGCTTTGATCCATGTTTATATAAATTTATTTTTTCATAAAAGTAATATGCGTAGAAAAGTAGCATATAGTTGAGATATTTACCTATCTTTTATTTAATATTTTTTTTATAAAAATATTAATTATCAATCATTTGGAATAATTATAGTTCCATTTTTAGATATTCAACCAAATATTTCTGAAATATCTCCAGAAAAAAGTAATCATCAAGGTGTGTGCTTTGATCCATGTTTATATAAACTTATTTCTTCATAAAAGTAATATGCGTAGAAAAGTAGTATGTAGTTGAGATATTTATCTATCTTTTATTTAATATTCTTTTCATAAAAATATTAATTATCAATCATTTGGAATAATTATAGTTCCTTTATTAGATATTCAACCAAATATTTCTGAAATATCTCCAGAAAAAAATAATCAACAAGGTATGCGTTTTGATTCATGTTTATATAAACTTATTTCTTCATAAAAATAACATGCACAGAAAAATAATAACATTATTTGGTATTAGTTCATTTTTTAGATGTTCAACCAAGTATTTCTCAAACTAATCTTTTTGAAATACTAAATGATAAAACAATTGATAATACAGGTAATATAACTAATTTAAATATTGAAATGTTATGTTTAACTGCATGATAAGCATTATTACATATAAATATAAATATTCTATATCCATTTTTGATAATAATGATACTAATTTTGTTACAATTGTATTTTTGAATAAATTTTTGGAAATTTTAAATTTTAAATAAAGAAGAAACAGCCTATCTACAAAATAATATTTATAATTCATATTCAGTTTATTATTTTCATTTTGAAGTTAACTTGTTTAATTAATATTACAATATTAATTAAATATTTTAATTTACAAGCAAATTTATCATGAATTTTAATAATTTTTTAGATTTAAATATTAATTTTTCTAAGCATTATTACATATAAATATAAATATTCTATATCCATTTTTGATAATAATGATACTAATTTTGTTACAATTGTATTTTTGAATAAATTTTTGGAAATTTTAAATTTTAAATAAAGAAGAAACAGCCTATCTACAAAATAATATTTATAATTCATATTCAGTTTATTATTTTCATTTTGAAGTTAACTTGTTTAATTAATATTACAATATTAATTAAATATTTTAATTTACAAGCAAATTTATCATGAATTTTAATAATTTTTTAGATTTAAATATTAATTTTTCTATGAACGAGGATATCTCTTTGGAACATATATTGAATTCATCTTTTACTACTTTAGTAGAAATAAATGCTCAATATAAGGAAGTGACAGAAATAATAAATGACTCCAATGGTAAAGTATTGTATAATAATTTAATTGTTTTTATGTAAACTAGAGTGGTCATATGTCACATAAATTGTATGGATATAATGAATTTATACAAAAGAGTGTGTATATGTGTGAGAGAGAAACTTTTTTTATTTAATTATTATAGTTAAAAAATTATTGCTAATTAGTTAATCTAGTATGTATGTACTAGTTAATCTATTATGATTTATTCTCGTAGGTATTAATTCTAACGTTGCAGAAGACAATATTCAAAATAAAACTTTAAAACTTTGTCAAATAACAACAGTTAATCAACAAGGTAACAATACAATTTATATCTATTTGCTTCCAAATTAAACGTTGTTACATATAATTTTATAACGAACATAATATGGTTATTTTAATATAATGTATTATTAATAGATTAATATGTATGTATATTTTGTTATATAATGTCATGCCAAAGTTTTGATATTAGATACACGAGCAAAATCTTTAAAAAATCCTTAAGAACTATATGTAAATAAAGATAAATTAATCAAACAGATAATTTAATAAATTAGATTAAATTCTTTATTTTATTGAACTTTTTGAAGAACTTATAAGGTATCTGTTTATAAATAATTACAATTAAAAATTTTCATAACTTTAATAATATTATAGAAAGCTCTCTATAAACATATAGCATGTATAATAGTTTTGAAATTTATTTTTAAGTATTTTAAGTATTCTAAGTATTCTATTTTTCTCTTTTGCATCTTTGATATAATTATTGATATTGAAAATAATATATATATATATATATATATATATATATCTATTACACATTAATATATATATATATATATATCTATTATACATTAATATAACATATTAATGTATATTCATTACGTATTACATCAAAAATTATACATTTTGATTTCAGACAATATTTATGAAGACAGTGAGGATTACAATAATGATCCAGATTATGATGTTTCCAATGATTCAGATGATGAATCAAATATTTCTATTTTTGAAAGCTTTGATAAAAATGAAAAGTCTAATACTACAAATGATAGTCTTAATACCTCGAAATATGAAGAAAAAGCAAATTGTGATGATACAAATCTTATTGTGCTTAAATCTCAAGAGAAAGGACAAAATAAAAAATATTTTTGCAAGTATTGCAAAAAATTACAAACTAAATTTGCACGACACTTAGAGACTGTTCATAAAAATGAGGAAGAGGTAAAAAAATTTATTTTGCTTCCTAAAGGTAAATATAATATATAATAATCTATACACATCATTTTGAATCAAATGTTGCATTATACATATCTTTATTAAAAAATGTTTATATTATTTTTCTTTTATTTTTATATTATTTTTCTTAGGTAATTCAGAAAGAAAGGCCATCATAGAGACTATTAGAAAAGAAAGTAATTTTATATATAATACTAGTTCGCAGTTTAATACAGGAGAATTGATAGTATCTCGGAGACCTTCGAAAATTAACAAACTTGCATCAGAATATATTTGTTGTCCAAAGTGTAAGGGCTTTTATACAAAAAATAATGTAAGACATCACTTTCAAAATTGTAACAAAAGAAGTATTGGCAGACATGTTATGGTACTTGGTAGAAAAGTACAAGCACGGATACACACTAAAGCCAGTGATATGGTTAGAAAAGTAATCTTCCCAATTATGAGAGATGACAATGTGTGTAGAATAATAAGATATGATGAGTTAGTGATACTTCGCGCAAATAAATTATGTAATAAATTTAGGAATCAACGCCACCATGATATGATAAGAGCAGAATTAAGACTTTTAGGTCGTTACTTAATTTCTATTAAGAAATTTAATTCAAATATCACTAATTTTGCCTCAATATATCAACCGTGCAATTATGATTCATGCATTTTAGCTGCTAAAGATGTAGCTCAATTTAATCCTGATACTAATAAATTTAAAACACCGTCTGTCGCTACACGACTTGGTACGCTCTTAAAAAAATTAGGAAACATATTATGTACTGAATATATAAAAAAAGATGATAATGAGGGTTTAAGAAAGGTAGAAAATTTCTTGAAACTTTTAGAAGAAGATTATGGAGCAACAATAAATAAAATAGCAGAGGAAACTGTAACGCAAAATAAAAGACATAATAAAATTGAATTACCAGATATGGAGGATATCCAGAAATTATATAATTATTTAAAAGAAGAAAGAAACATATTGTATAGTGAGCTTCTTAAATCTTATAATTACAGTACATGGTTAGAATTATTAAAAGTTACGCTTATTTCTATGCAAGTTTATAACAGAAGAAGAGCAGGTGAAATAGAAAAAGTTCTAATAGAAGATTACAAAAGTTTTAAAAGTGTAGGAGAACACACAGATTCTGAAGTGTACAATTCATTATCAGAGTCTGGAAAAGAGGTAATATTATTTTAATAATTATTAAATAAATAAATTATTGCGTTAAAATATATTTTATATCTAATAATTTATATTTTTCTTCCTTTAAATTATTTATATTTTATTAATTTTAATGCATAAAATTTATAATACTTTTATTATATTTATTCTATAATAATTTTTCTTTTATGTATTTTTTTCTGTTTGTTGTATTAGGCTATTAAAAAATTCGTTACATTTGATATTAGAGGTAAACTAGGTCGTACAGTTCCCGTATTGTTGCATTCACAATTACAAGATTGCATCAAATTATTACTGCAACATAGATTAAATGCAAAAATAAAATCAGAAAACCCTTACCTTTTTGGCATTCCTGGATACGATAAACATCGATATAAGCATTTGAAAGCGTGCATTCTTATGCGAGACTATTCTTCAAAATGTGGAGCAGCAAAACCTCTTACTTTACGAGGCACCAAACTACGAAAACATATTGCCACAAAATGCATCACACTTAATCTTTCAGAATCGGAAGTTACAGAGTTGGCAAACTTTATGGGTCATGATAAAAGCATACACAAATCGCATTATCGACAGTCAATTCCTGAATTAGATATTCCAAGATTCTCCCGACTTCTAAATCTAGCTATTTTTAATGAGGAAAATGACAATGAAGATGGAGAAATTGAGCAAAATCTTATTTCTGAGAATTTAAATGACTCATCTGAATCCTCTCATTCTGATGATATTGAAATTAATAATAATATACCATCATCAAAAACACCTAAGAAAAAACGAAGCAGTAAGCATATATTTTAAATCATTTTTTGCATTATATAATAAAATTTTTATTTTGTAATTTCTGTTACATTTATAATATATTAATAATATATAATAGCTCTCTTTCTATAAAAAAATAATAACTGTAATTATTACAATTACTAAAATGATAACCTTTTCTTTAATATTTATCTTAACTAATAACTTTAACATTATTTTAATATGCAAAGTGTCCTAGAGTAAACGTATCAAATGTTACTAGCATATTCTTGAAATCATTTTGAGATGAAAATCCTATAACAAAATATCGAGGCTATAATAAGTTTTAAAACATTAAAAGTTAGCTAGTCATTGCGCTATTCAGTCAACTATATACTGTACAGTCACTGTACATCGTACAATAATAAAGATGATTGAATAACTTTAAATGCTTCTCATTTAAAAACTATTTTAGCCTAAAGATTTTAATATCATAAGATTTTTATTTTAAAATGATTTCAAGAATGAGCTAATAATCTTTCCTGCATTTGATTTTGGACTGCATATTAAGTAAACATTTTATATTATTAATATTTTATTTTATAAATTATACATATGTTTCTTATATAATAATTAGCTGTACTAAGTTATTCAATAAATTAATAATATAATTGCTAGCATCACCATTTGGGCCAACTAAAAGGAAGCGATGGACGCAAAAAGAAATTCAAATAATATTAACAGATTTTTCTCAAGAAATAGAAAAATCACGCTTACCATCTGGAAGAGATATTGAGACTTTAAGACAAAAACATTCATGTCTACAAAAACGCACAGTGCCGCAGATAAAGACATGGCTTCATAATATTATAAGTGGTAAAACAAAAATTCCAAAGATTTAATTAATTTTCATAATATATTATCCTCCCAGAAATATTTTTAATATAAATTTAAATATAAATTATTATTAAATATTCTCAAAATAATAATAACTAGAAGTATAAAATTACTTAACTCA